TCTGTTTTATTTTTTGGGGGGGGGTGTCCATTAGCTGGTCTTGCCTATGGCGCAAAATAGTCTAGCACCTGCCCTGGTGGCAACACCCACTTTTTCCTGCTTGCTTACATCCCGGTCACATGAGTGCACGCCAAACCAAAGAGATTTCACTTTACAATCACCAGTTAAAAAGACCAAAACTGTCCATTGCCTCTCCACTTAAAAAAATACAAAAAAAACTTCTCCAACATTGAACATCACACTTTCAATAGTCCTCTGTATTGTCAAACACGGTTTCAAACACTGCTCTCATGTTGTCAGGTAAAAATATACTATCTTGCAGTTGGTTGCTATGGGTTACTGAAGCATAAAATCTGCACCTGTCAGTTTCGGGAAGGGCTAGGAGAACCCCTGATGAGTGTCCACTTGAAACTCATCCCTTGAGTAGGAACACTCAAGCTTAAAGCTTTTTTTTTGCTTTCAAGACACCCTTAAAATGTTTTGTTGTTGTGCACTAAAATGAGAAATGTATGCCACCAGTTATTTAGTCCTTAGCTTTATAACAGTTGCGTAGATGAACTTTTTTTGTCCTGGATATTTGTCCTGGATTGTCCAGAGTTAATGATTCGTCACCCAGAGGTTTGTGAACAAAATCTGGCGAGGAGCACTTCACAACATGCTGTTATTATTACTATTATTATTGTTATCTTAGTAGTTGTTATGCAATAATGATTATTATTAGTAATAGGAGGAGTAGTATTAGTAGTAGTAGTAACAGTAGTTTTGTTATATACCATTCTATATATTATTTGTACAGTAATGTCATTAAATATTTTAGACAAATAACAATAAACTTTTGTTTTTAGGCTTTGCAGTGGGGCCCAGGGTCAATATATTTCCTGGAATGAATAGACACAGGCAACCTATTCTTATGTTCCAGCCAACAATTTCAATTGTGAATCTCAGTCCAATGAATCATTTGTGCTTGAGAAGGTTTCCTCATCCAGTTCCCAGACTGAATTTTCCTGGCCATTACCAGGTACTGGTTTTATCTTGTATATCCAAATATCAAATTATTTATGAATTACATTGCTTCTGTCTATGCTAATGGTGTCATGTACTAGTGGTCAATATCCTGGTGCTTAAATTGGTTTTTTTATTCAAAAAACAAAATCTTTATCCCAAAAGGAAAAATAAATTGCTGTAACTGATTATACAATGTGAGCTGGGTTTGGCTTTAATTTGTTTAGTGTATTTAAATTTTCTAATACATGTAGTGCTACCCTTATGAGGGCCGCTGTGTTTCTAGGTCCCGCTAAGCTCTGCACAGCCAGTCAACACACATTTTCAACACTTGCATCCACAATCAGTGAACAGTTCATGAGCTTGGTTTTTGTTATTTTATTAGGAGAAATAACTTGGATAGGGTGATAAGGACTATTAGATGCCCAGTTTAACTGAATCAATGCACAGGCACAACTTCCTTCCTATTTACAGAAAAAATTGCCTAGACTGTTCTTTTCCTTGAAAGCTGTCAGTCTTTGAAGATCAGTAGCAACTGCCCCTAAGGGCGAGGAACTCACTTCCCATCTGAAATCAACATACCTTCTTGTAACTACATGCAGAGGTGTCTCCTCTCCCCTGTAGAACAGCTCCCAGCTCAACAGACTGCAAACACTACCAGCCCTCCTGACCACTCTGAAGATCTCCCAGGCCACGGATAAAGGATTAAGCACAACGTGTGGCAGTCTCTCCCCTTGTAAATCCCTGGGTATACTGATGTACTCACTCTGCCCTCTTTGCTCCCAGTTCTCCCAGGCCTTGGTCCTGTTAATAGCCGTACTGCTGAATGGACCCTCCTGAGCCAGCCTGAGGCCAGCCTGAAGGACAGCCCCCCTAGACCTAGGGAACCCCTCCCAGGCCACCGAAAGCCTCCTAAGCACTCCATCTTCCACCCAACTGACTGCCAGCCTGGCTATCCCTTATTTATGGGTTGGACTCACCACTCTACCAGGGCCTCCAAACCTGTGATTAGTTAGACTCCAATAAACATGCAGATTAGGTCTCCACTGGCTGGAGGTGATAGAGTCCCAACCTGTTAAGCTATCCAGCTTGACCTGCAGTAATCTGACCTCAATCACAGACTCTCACAGTTACCATGAATCATGCACAAAACTAATGCAGCCACAACATTTAATGATTGGTAAGGTATTGTTTTGCTTGATGTCTAGTAAAGGTTACTTTGAGTTATAAGCAAGGAAACTTAAACCTCCATAGTGTTAAAGTGCTTTTACTAAATGAAAATGCTGTACATAGAAAAATTACAATGATAGGAATACAGTACAAGACTGACAGATATACCTATAACAATCAAAATGCTACCTACTACCTAGCGAAACTATGCTCTGTATACAATAGTAATACACTGAAAAGGTTACTTAACTCAGGTTAGAATGGGTTCACGATCTTCATAGGCAGCGCAAGGACCCCAGCTTACTCTACAGCAATTGCAGGAGATCGGGCGAAAAACTTCTTCTTCTGTCAGAGATCTTCCTTGGTGTTCAAGTCATCTTAGAGTCCCCCTAATCAGTTTCTGTTGTTGCCTTTTATTTGAAAAGTTTACCATCCCCACATGAGTGTGGCCCCTTTTACAATACTGTGTGTCAATGTCAGAAACATTCTCCAATTTGACCTCAAGATGGCACTGTGGTATCATACATGCCATTGGTCATATATGTAAAAAGCTGTGTTTTGACCATGGATACAAAACAATAGACTGACAACTGTCAACTGAAATTCAACAATGGTATCTATGTCACCATTATATCCAGCTGCATTCTACCCAGAAGCATCTCCTCAAACTCCAAGAAACCTGATGTCTGTCTCCAAGACAGTCTGAGGAAATCAATACACATATACTGTATATATATATATATATATATATATATATATATATATATATAATATATATAAATAAATATATATATATATATATTTCAAATGTCTCACAGCTACAATATAATACATTTTTGTTGTTGGGGGTGTAGCCTCCCTGGAGGTATTCCCGAGTGTAGCTCGTGGTAAAGTTTCAGTACCACAAGCTGTAACCTCGAGCTACACTTGGGCTTACCATGCGGCGTTGCTCCGGGATCCCTCGATCACTTACCTTGTCCTTCGCTCCCGCGATGTCCCTCCTGCAGTGTCCCCGGCAATGTAATCCAGCGGATGCCGGCATCTGTCATCTGGGTACCGTCCCCTGCGAGCGTCGGGACGTATGGGGGAAGGAACGGTGGGAAATTTTAAAACGACTAAAAAAGTGACTTTCACTAAAATCACATAGTAAAACATTACTGTATAAAGCATTTCACATACATTTTGTCCCTAGTGCTTTGTCCTGTGCCCTGCCTGCATTTTTGCTGTTCTTTCTGCCTGGAAACTGAGAAACGTCCATGGCGTCCAAAAAGCGTCCCTTTAGGTCAAAAGCGGTTTTAGACCAGCTAGAGAACAGCGATAGTAAATCAGAACTACTTGCAGAATTGAGTGATGATTTGTGGGGAAATTCGTCATCAGACACTGAAAACGATTTTGCAACTTTGCTCAGTGATGTGCGAACTTGGCGCTATATTTCAAATTTCAGTGTTTTTGGTTTGATTATATTATTGAATTAAATTTATTATTATTATATTAATATTTTTATGATTATTTATTAAATTATAATTTATGATTTCGCGTTTTAAGCATACCCGGGATGTTTACTAGACTCTTGTTCGGACAGATTTCAGTGAGTTATTCCTAAAAATTACAGGCCTACAATATAAAACACCAAATTTCCATGCAAAATAATGGTACCACTTTCAGCACCAAAAATCTGAAATAATTATGCCGCCAGGGAGGTTAATACCATGAGCTATTACTGTAAGTTAATGGGGTTGAGATAGAGACTGTTCACTTGGTGAACAGTTAATGCTCTCTTTGCTTAGTGAATAAGGCGAAGCTATGTTCACTTAAATGATCCAAATTTGCCGGCCAAGAAAGTAGCTTTTTTTAAAATTTTCCTTGCACAGAATGAAGACAGCATTGCTTTACTATGAGACCATTCCTTAGTAAATCAGTGCCACTGAGTACCTATTTGGTTCTGACCACTCCATCTAGTAACACAGAAATTCCAACCTCCTGCAGCTTTGGTGTTTATAAAAAACCTGACAGCTGTAATAAATATCTTTTGCAACACAACTTGTCGCTGAAAACTGAAATTTGAAGGATCTCTATAAAATACAACATTTCTCCATGGGAATAATTATTTTCAATAGACAGGTTCAACTGTTGTTTATGAGTGCTGTAGAAGGTGAGGTTCTTCTATGTTACTAATCAATTAATTTTCTTCAAACATAAGGGTATACTTATACAGAAATGTGCTTTTTGTATGGTTGGAACACAGGGGAAATACATTGCAATTTGTCATTTCAGTGTAATAGCTTTGTTCACACTGCATCATCTGTGTTGCCATACTTAGAAGAATACAACTTTCCACAATAAACTACAAGCCTACAGGGCACTTATACCCCCTTCCTGCCCAGGCCAATTTCCAGCTTTCAGCGCTGTCGCACTTTGCGTGACAATTGTGCAGTCATGCAACACTGTACCCATATGAAATTTTTATCATTTTTTTGTGACAGATAGAGATTTATTTTGGTGGTATTTAATCACCTCTGGGTTTTTTATTTTTTCTTAAACAAACCCAAAACCACTGAAAGTTTAGAAAAAAAAAAATTTTTCTTAGTTTTTGTTATAACATTTTGTAAATAAGTGATTTTTCTCTTTCACTGATGTGCGCTAATGAGGCTGCAGTGATGGGCACTGATAGGCTGCACTGATGGGCATTGACAGGCATCACTGATGAGCACTGAAAGGCAGCACTGATAAATCGCACTGATAGGCGGCACTGACTGGCACTGATATGCGGCACTGACTGGCACTGATAGGCAGCACTAACTGGCACTGATAGGTGGCACCGACTGGCACTGATAGGCGGCACCGACTGGCACTGATAGGTAGCACTGATTGGCAGCACTGATAGGTGGCACTGATTGGCACTAATGGGTGACACTGAAAGGCAGCTCAGATGGGCACTGATATGTGGCATTGATGTGCACTGGTAGGCACTGATATGTGGCATTGATGTGGCACTGATGCGCACTGGCACGAGGCACTGATGAGCACTGACACAAGGCACTGATGGACACTGACAGGTGGGACTGTTGGGGCTACATTGATCATCAGGGCACACTGATCATCAGTGCCCTGATGATCAGTGTACATGTCCCCTCCACGGAAAGCCGATTACCGGCTCTCCTCTCGAGCTGTCAGCGTGACAGCTCGAGAGGAGAGAAATGCCGATAACCGGCATTTCCCTGTTTACATGTGATCAGCTGTGATTGGACACAGCTGATCACATTACCAAACCGACATCTTCGGCTCTTTCCGTGATCGGTGATCCGCTGTGTCCGAGGGACACAGCGCACCGCCGATCACCGTGCTGCACGCTCCCTGAGCCGCGCATGCGCGGTGAGAATGGGAGGACGTCATATGATGTCCTCCCAGAACGAGAGAACCACCTTGCATCCGTCATTGTACTATATGGCGGGCGGGAGGTGGTTAAACACAGTTTCCACGTTAAACAACAGTTTGCAACAGTGGTCTGTGCATGGATAACTGTCAACCAGTTTTGTCCTGCAGTTCTTGACTTACACTAGTGTGAGCAAAGCCTAAGGAACATTTTGTTTTTTAAAGCAGAACTAAATTCTCTCAATCATCAGTACCTATTTTTAATCCATATGTGGCTAGCATTAGTAAATAGAAAGGAAGGTGTATTATATTTACTTGTTAAACTTTTTTTTTTTTTTAACATGACTTCAGTTGGTCCCTGGCCTAGGCCAAAATGGTGTCATACATTTCAGGAGTTTTCATGGACATTTTTTTCTTTTATCTGGAAGAGGGTCTTCTCAGCTAAGCACACCCTCCTGTCTAAATGCCTGAGTTAAGGGCAGATGGAATCCAGGAAGTAAATGTTAAATTAATCTTCTGCCCTTACTGAAGATGGACGCAGCTAGAAATGCTAGGGATGTTTTTGAAAGGAATTTCTCAACAAAATAAATCCTGGAGACCTAGATGGGTGGGTGCGTTGCTATGAATATTTAAAATGAAATAAACAAATGAGTGGATTTTCAGTTTGTGGTGCTCAGATGCAGTTTAGTTCAGTTCCAACACTTATTTGCAAAGAATTTAATGAGGACATGTGTATCATGTTTAACAAGTTTTGAAATGATGGAAAGTGATCTTCAGGCTACATACAGTACATACTCTATATGGGAGGTGTGGTGCTTTTTAATGCATTTTAGGTTCGTTTTCATGTGTTTGTATGTATTTTTCATCTACCACCACTTTTTTCCGACAGAAGGTGTGTTTTGAGTAGGGTGTTTTCTAACATATAGTAATACACTCAAACAGGACCCATTGTCATAAAATGTACGTACACTATATTGTCAAAAGTATTGGGACACCCCTCCAAATCATTGGATTAAGGCGTTCCCATCACCTCCATGGTCACAGGTGTATAAAATCAAGCACCTAGGCATGCAGACTGCTTCTACAAACATTTGTGAAAGAATTCACAGGAGCTCAGTGAATTCAAGCATGGTACCATGATAGGTTGCCACCTGTGCAATAAGTCCATCCATTAAATTTTCTTACTGCTAAATTTTCCATGGTCAACTGTTAGTGGTATTATAACAAAGTGGAAGCAATTGGGAACAACAGCAACTCAGCCACAAAGTGGTAGGCCACTTAAAAATGACAGAGCGGGGTCAGCGCATGCTGAAGCGTGTTCCTTTCCTCTCTATGCTGGGTTATGCTGAGTGGTGTACGGAGCATTCAACACTGGTGGGATTTTTTGTTTGGATATACTTTTTTAGTTAGCCTAGCAGTCCATTATTTCACTTGGAACGCATAATGTCAGGTCCACCACTTGGCGTAAAATCCTTCCTGTTCAGGTGGTGGTGTGTGACATTTTGCATGAGGTGGGGAAGATTCGGGTGCTTGAGAGAGACAAGTGGGGTTGGGGGGCTTGGTTGAAGACGTAGAGGGGGTTCAAGCCTCCCTGATTACCAGGAGTCTCTTTCCAGGGTATGGCTGTCTGTCTCTTATCACCTTAGTTTTTTTTCCTTGATGCTTAATTTTTTTAAATGGCTGCGTACATAGGTGATTGGTTGTGTCTCTTAGGCCCTCTCTGCCACTTTATGTAAATAGTTTTCTATAGTTTGAAAGTTTTGGTAGTAGACTCTCTATATATTGTATATATTCTGAACATGGATGTGCATTCCTTTTGTTTTCTGTTGAAGTATGACTGTACTATGGTTATGTTTTTTACTTTTGTATATCATTTTGTTGCTTGATTCTTGTCAATAAAAGATCAGCGCATGCACAGTGATTTCAACTGCGACATTCAGATGGTAGAGTCAGAATTTGGTGTAAACAACATAAAAAGCATGTATCCATCCAGCCTTGTATCAAGGTGGTGTAATGGTGTTGGGGATATTTTCTTGGCACTAGCAAGGTGTACCTAATAAAGTGGTCGAGGAGTATATACACTATATTGCCAAAAGTATTGGGACACCCCTCCAAATCATTGTATTCAGGTACTCCAATCACCTCCATGGCAACAGGTGTATAAGATCAAACACCTAGGCATGCAGACTGTTTCTACAAACATTTGTGAAAGAATGGATCGTTCTCAGGAGCTCAGTGAATTCAAGCATGGTTTCGAGAAAAGTTGCCACCTGTGCAATAAGTCCTTCCATGAAATTTCCTTGCTACTATTCCACAAACAACTGTTAGTAGTATTATAACAAAGTGGAAGCAACTGGGAACAACAGCAACTCAGCCACGAAGTGGTAGGCCATGTAAAATGACAGAGCGGGGTTAGGGCATGCTGAAGCACACAGTGCACAGAAGTTGCCAAATGTCTGCAGAGTCAATAACTAAAGGCTAAGTTCACACTAGCTTTGTAGACAGGCATTTTGCAGGCATTTGAGGGGCATTTTTAATGCTCCTTAAATGCCTATGAAAATTATACACATGACAGCACACAGTGCTGTTCACACTGAAGTGTTAGCGCAGTGTCAAGGCAAAATTGATGCCTCATGTCGAGTCAGGAGGAGTTGAAGCCTTTCAGCGTCTCACATTCAAGTCTATGGTGACACTCCTCAAACACCTGGCAGGCGTTTGTGGGGCGTTTGCGAGGCGTTTGTGGGGCATTAATACCATTAACTTCATTATAGGTGTTTATGGTGTGGTTTTAATGCTTGGAAAAAGCCTATCAAATGCCTCAAAAACGGGCATAGGGCGTTTGGAGAGCATTTGAGGATTGTTAAAACTCTTCAAAGATGCCTGTCTAATGCCTGTCAAACGCTATAGGGGCGTATGGGAAGAGTTAGAAATGAGTCTAGTGTGAACATAGCCCAAAGACCTCCAAACGTTTTGTGGCCTTCAGATTAGCACAACAACAGTGTGTAGAGAGCTTCATGGAGTGGGTTTTCATGGCCGAGCAGCTGCATCCAAGACCTTACATCGCCAAGTGCAATGCAAAACATCGGATGCAGTGGTGTAAAGCACGCCACCACTGGACTCTAGAGCAGTGTAGATGTGTTCTCTGGAGTGATGAATTACACTTCTCTGTCTGATAATCCGATGGACATTTCTGGGTTTGGCAAATGCCAAAACAGTACTTGCCTGACTGCATTGTGCCAAGTGTAAAGTTTGGGGGAGGGGGGATTATGGTGTGGGGTTGTTTTTTTTCAGGGGTTGTGCTTGGTTCCTTAGTTCCAGTGAAGGGAACACTTAAGGCATCAGCATACCAAGACATTTTGGACAATTTCATGCTCCCAACTTTGTGGGAACAGTTAGGGGATGGTCCCTTCCTGTTCCAACATGATTGTGCACCAGTGAACAAAGCAAGGTCCATAAAGACATGGATGAGTGAGTTTGGGGTGGAGGAACTTGACTGGCCTCCACAGAGTATTGACCCCAACCCAACAGAACACCTTTGGGATGAATTAGAGTGAAGACTGTGAGCCAGGCATTCTCATCCAAAATCAGTGCCTGACCTCACAAATGTGCTTCTGGAATTCTAGAAGAATGGTCACACATTCCCATAGACACACTCCTAAACCTTGTGGACAGCCTTCCCAGAAGAGTTGAAGCTGTTATAGATGCAAAGGATGGGCCAACTCAATATTGAACCCTACAGACTAAGACTGAGATGCCAAGTTCATTTGAGTGTAAAGCCAGGCGTCCCAATACTTTTAGCAATATAGTGTATGTAGCTCCTATCTTGCCTAGTCATAACATGTATGTATGAATGTATGTACAGTATGTAACTCCTTTAAGCTGACCAGCAAAACTTTCCTCCCTTTCTACATGTGATGGACTGCATAGGGAGAGAAGGGAGGGGGGAACTCTGTGTGAGAGAGAATTTAATGTGTTTTCAACCGCATCCAATTCGCATGACATGTGAACCGGCAGCCTTCTCTATGGAGCTGGTTTACGTATGTGTGTGCCATCTGCAGCACGTTTTTAAAAAGTCCGGTATGTTTTTGAGCCAAGTTCAGGTGCAATTTCTTTTTTTGTTCCAAAAATACTTTATTAATATAAGAAGAAACAAAATAGCATATAGAGCATATACAGCTATAGATCACAGTCAGAACATAAACATGACACGTTGCCTCCCGTTTCGCAGACGGGACATATTGTAAACTGTAATACAAGTCAAAATGGGGTAGAACATTACGTCAGGCATACAATGTAAACCAGTGGATACGCAGAGGAAAGAGGATCGATGTATGTATATGTTGTCACTTCTGGAATATCAGCCATTTTTAATGATGAGGTGATATGAAGATTAGGGTAGGGAAAGCATTAGATGCTGTGAAAGTCATGGTTTACGTATTTATACCTTGAGTGAATGATATAGTTGCAGTTAGTCATATCTGTGTGGAAGTAAATGCTCTATTTGGTTGGTGAAGAATGAATGATAAGGTGGTATAACAGGTGTGAAAAAAAAGGAGGCTGGAAAGAAGAACAGTAAGAAAAAGAAATGTAGGATGAGATGGTGGGGGGAATATGGGGGAAGGAAAAAAATAATAATAATTGGGGGGGGGGAGTAAGGGGTTAAGTGACAGTAGAATGTATAGGTAATAAAAAGTTAAATTGGATCACTTCCCTAAGTATTAGCCAAGCCAGAATGGTAGTAGTAAGGCTTAGAATATGGTACGTGCAAGATCGGTCAGTGGGGTAACCCGTGGAGCAAAAACCCCATAAGGCATGTCATGATATAGACCTACAGCCCATCCTTACACCTGGTAAAAGTGTCCCCGGTGATCCGGGTATTTCCCA